CATTTGAACAGTCAATAGCAAATACTTAAACTAATAACAAAACAGTAGCTGATTCAGAAGCGCCAGATTGTCATAGCAAAGTCAGAATTACCTCCTCTCCTAGGTTCACGAAACGGTCGTCCATAAAATGCATTGCTGTTCTGTTGTAAGTAATCTTAAAGATTCCTAAATGCATCTACTTTCAGAAGGCCAAATAAAGTGCTTTTGCTTTCGCCTAGAAACACACAGCATCTCCCTGACATGGCTGCTTCAACACTAACTGCGGTTACTGAAACCATGCCTTCTTTCTTTGCGTGCACATTTGGGCGCATTATGCAAATATTTCCACATAGTGAGGTAGATATGTGGGGGCGAGTTAGAACGAGCCGTTGTAGAGGGGTGTGGCAGAGTCTTAACTTTGATAAAGAATATCTCTTTGGTTTTGAGACTTTAGTCTTTGCAACTTCAGGGATCTTATCTGTGCACAATCAGCTTGTAACACTCCAAAGAGAAAGGAAAACTTGAAATCGCATCATATGACCCCTTTAAACAATTTTTAAGAAAAGGGACGAGTAAAAAGTATCAATTATTATATTAATTTAGACAATTATTATCAATTAATTATTATATTAAAAATATAAATATATCTTAGTATCTTAATTTTTAAAATTTTTATAATGCATTAGCTTTTTGTTGATCCACTGGTTCACATTTAAAAATATGTAGCAAAAATAGCAGATGGGCTTATTGAGAAATCAAATCCGTTCTCTGCCAGCAGGTTTCACTTTCGTAACTGCGGAAATACAATGGTTTCCTGGTAACCGCAGTACACAAAGCTGACGTGCAGCACTCAAGTTTATTCAGTGAAATCATAAAGTTTAATCGTCATATTAATCCATATAGCAATTCTTATCTTTCCGTCCCCAAAGACCTCTTACAATTGAGACTTTTTGTACCATTTAAGAGTTTTCATGGACTTAAATGTAAACAATTTAACTGAAGACGTTTCAAGGACCCCCGGAAACCCTAATAAGAACATAGTCCAGTGCAAACATTTCTGTAATGCATTTGGCAAAAAGCTTTTGTTGACTATGAATTTTAACTTTGAAATTTGAGGCTAGTGCAACTCGCGTCCCCGTTGTTTGTGAGCAGTGGTGTGATGGCGATTTAAATAAAATACAGATTTCCAAACAATCCAAACATATGGGTATCCCCTTGAACTTGGTAAAACGAGAATCTGTTTACCATCTTGACTTGAAAATACTGTTTTCATGGTCAGTTTTTCATTTATTATTTGCTAATGTTAGTGAATCAGTGCATCCCAAATCGCGTACTTATGCACTATTCTATGATATGTTGTAGTATAAATGGTGTGAGTAGTGCGTTCACACTGAAAATTCCAAAAAGAAAAAGTGCACTTTAAACACCCGGATGATGCACTTAAATAACCGAAAAAACGAAGTGTGGAATGTTGCACACTTCATGCACTCAACTGTCGCATCTTTATTTACGTAACAAAGGGGGAGGGGCTATCAGACTCCGATTATAAATGACAAAATAACCTTATATAATTCATACACTACATGATTGAGTACATAATGCATAAGTACATAGTGTATGAGTGTATAGTGCGTCATTTGGGACGCAGCTATTGTTTATATTAGAGTGCATGTCCTACTACGCTGAAATTAATAGGGGAGCAGCTGGAAACTAGCAACCTTTCCTGTTTGGAGATAGTATTAACATCATAATAAACTGAAAGCAATCTTTACGTGACCACTCAACTGTCGCATCTTTATTTACGTAACAAAGGGGGAGGGGCTATCAGACTCCGATTATAAATGACAAAATAACCTTATATAATTCATACACTACATGATTGAGTACATAATGCATAAGTACATGGTGTATGAGTGTATAGTGCGTCATTTGGGACGCAGCTATTGTTTATATTAGAGTGCATGTCCTACTGCGCTGAAATTAATAGGGGAGCGGCTGGAAACTAGCAACCTTTCCTGGTTGGAGATAGTATTAACATCATAATAAACTGAAAGCAATCTTTACGTGACTTGCTTTTCAAATGTTTTAAAATTGATCATCCGAGTCTAATATGATCCAGCCGCCATTTGCCCATCCCTGAATTATATATACTGTGTGTGTGTGTGTACTGTGTATATGTGTGTTTGGATCAGTTTGTTTATTTTTGATTCTCTGATTGGTGGAGCTTCTCTGCAGAATCATGGGTAATGTAGTTTTTCACCAGGGAATTCACATTTCAACATGATTATTAAAAATAAACTTGAAATAATGTGGGCTGATGGCTTCAGCAAAAGCATATACTATTGATTAACAACCTTGTAGCTCACAGTACGTCTGTGTTTAATGGTTTAAAAGTTACTGTTAAAAATCAGTTCCGCAGTGGAGAAAATGAATGGGATTTTTACTTCTGGAACCTGATTGTTGCACTCCATTAAAGCAACAGTGCCTGACTGAAATGCATATTAGTTTTGCTTTAATATGCACGTATGCTTCCACAGATCAAAGGATACATATATTGCCTATCTGCCTCTTGCTCATGTGCTGGAAATGACGGCTGAGATCTCATGTGTGACGTACGGCTGCAGGATCGGCTATTCCTCACCACAAACACTGTCTGATCAGGTACTGCACCTCAATTTATTACTGGATCAGATAAATATAGTCACATTTACACAGATTTGTGAGGTTTTTACACAATGGAATGATATTAATCTCCATTGATGAATGGTTTGTTTTTGCTTTGTAGTCAACCAAAATTAAGAGGGGAAGTAAAGGTGACTGCACCGTGCTGAAACCTTCTCTAATGGCTGCCGTACCTGTAAGTCAGACTCCTCGAAACATTTTCATCTTGTTTCATTCACGCCAGTCATGTTAAAATCTCACACCCCTGTTTGTCAGGAAATAATGGACCGGATCAATAAGAACGTCATGAGTAAAGTGCAGGAGATGAACTGCGTGCAGAGAACCCTGTTCAAACTGGCCTACGGCTACAAGCTCAATCAGATCAAGAAGGGTTATGATGCGCCCCTGTGCAATATGTAAGATGAGATTAAAACAGGCCTTCAGTTAATCACATTTGCTCTTGCTAATGAGTCTGGCGTTTTAATCGCCTTTGTTCCCTCATGTGTTCAGTTTGTTTAAGAAAGTCAGAGCTCTGCTGGGTGGAAACGTGCGGATGATGCTGTCCGGAGGAGCCCCTCTGTCTCCCGCCACTCAGCGCTTCATGAACATCTGCTTCTGCTGTCCTGTTGGTCAGGGATACGGTCTTACTGAGACCTGTGGAGCGGGAACTATAACCGAGGGTGAGGAGTCCTGCTACATCTGAGCATCTTTTCCAGCCCATCTTGCACTATTTTACTATTACTTGTAGAGTCATATTTTGAAAACTCATCTGAGCTTTGTCCCAGTGCTTCAAACTGTGAAATAATGATGACATCTTCCTATGTTGTGCAGTTGCTGACTATAGCACAGGACGAGTAGGAGCTCCTCTGATCTGCTGTGAGATCAAACTCAAAGACTGGGCAGAAGGTTGGTTAATAGTACCAGTTTACTACATATTTGGAATCTTAAGAAGTAATGGTATTCTGCTATTATAAACTCACTTTCATGTTATTCCAAACCATAATGCTGTTATTTTGTTTTGTGGAACACAAATTAGACATTTCTGAAGAATTGTTATGCAGCTCTTGCTATAAAACAACAGTACATTTTGACCACCATGCCTGTCAAGTTTTAAAAAGTACAAAAATGAACGCCAAAGACATATGCTATATACCAAGTTTACTAAACTTGTGTGAAAGCTTGCTTTGAGGAGCACGGTCTTTCTTTACCTTTGCCGATACTTACTTCAGCATTCCTGTAGCTTAAACAATAGTGCATGTGCAAACAACACAAAGGTCATAGCTTCAATTCCCAGAGAATACGTGAACTGATGTCTTAATGCAATATAAGATTTTGATAAAAGCATCTGACAAATGCATAAATGTAAATGTAATCTGAAGGCATATAGATAAAAAAAATAAAAAGTTGACATCTTTGACACCAAAAGCATCATGTTTGGTGAATGTGAGCTTCAGGGAAGCAGTGTTGGTATGAACTAAAACTATTTTTTTTTTTAAATCGTGTTCATTAAAATAAAGCTAAGTGAAAATTAAAACATTTTAGATGAAAAACTTACATTTAAAAAGCTTGAATAAAAAAATTAGAAATGTTGCCTTGGCAACTTACTGAAATAAAATGTTTAAGCTGAAGAAGTAAAATGACTGAAACGGAACAAAAGCTAAATATAATATTAAATAATAATAATTCAAATATAAAAGCTAGTTGAAAATATTAATAAACACTATAATAGTATATAAATTATACTAAAATAACACTGCTGGTAAGATTATCATTGAATAATGGCTTAAATCACAATCAAATTTCTCACACAAAGCTATGAAGCGTTGTTGCATGAAGTGCTGCACAGCAATTCTTTTATTACATCTGCTTTTGTCTTCTATGGAAGAAAAAGTATCCGCATACAGATTTGAAACGACGTGAGGTTGAGTAAGAAGTTTCGTTTTCGGAGGAACTATTCCTTTAACTTTCAAACCGTTACAGCTGCCGTGATTCTGCTTATACTTCAGGTGGCTATACGAAGCATGACAAGCCCCATCCACGCGGTGAGATCCTCATCGGAGGTCCTAATGTGACCATGGGCTACTACAGGAGTGAAGGCTGTATCAATGAGGACTTCTTTGTGGATGAGAACGGCCAGCAGTGGTTCTGCACTGGTGATATTGGAGAGATGCACCCTGACGGCTGTCTTCAGATTGTCGGTATGTTTACAAGTCTTGTTACTTGTTTTAGTTAAAATCATACATTTATGATAACTGTCTGTCTGTATTATTCACATCTGTTTTATTATATGTATGTAATGCCTAGATCGCAAGAAGGACCTTGTGAAACTTCAAGCTGGGGAGTACGTCTCTTTAGGCAAAGTTGAGTCAGCTCTGAAGAACTGCTCTCTCATTGACAACATCTGCGCTTATGCAAACAGGTTCGTGTGCTCGGCTTTGTCTGACACATATGGGATGTTACTGACCCTAACAAAGGGTTCTCTCTTTAGAACAGCAGACGTACTGTATACAGACCTCTTTTCTCTCTCTCTGTGCCCACCAGTGACCAGAACTACGTTATCAGCTTCATTGTTCCTAATCAGAAGAAGCTGACAGCTCTTGCCAGTCAGAAGGGCATTGAAGGCACGTGGGAAGAGATTTGCAACCAGCCGATTATGGAAAGGGAAGTTCTGAGAGAAATTAAAGAAGTTGCAACTTCAAGTGAGTATAACTTACAGTATTTATAGCAGCAAGGTGTGTTGGTGAAAAAGTGCGGACACAAAATATGGACACTGTATCAAGAAATTCACTGATCTAATTAAGACAAGAGCCCTGAAGGCCTGCTTAACAAAACAGTTGAATTTTTTTGGCAAGAAAAACATGCACAAATATTTTTTTTCATTCAGAGGCCATTCTATTTTTATATTATTAAAAAAATTAATTCAGAGACCATGATACAAAAAAAAAAAAAGTGCAATTTTTTTTTTTGTTTAGTTCATCAAACCTTGTGCACACTTGACATTGACTTCAGCATACACTACTATATAAAAGTTTGGGTTCAGAAATATATATATATTTTTTTTTTTAAAGAAATTAATACTTTTATTCAGTAAGGACCATTAAAATGATTAAAAGTAACAGTAAAGACATTTATAATGTTAAAATAGTATTATTTTATTATCATTGAGATTATAGTATTACTATAGTTTTTATTAATATTTGGTATTATGTATTTATAATAATTTGTTTTATTTAGTGCAGTCAAACGATTAATCGCGATTAATCGCATCCAAAATTAAGTTTTTGTTTACATAATATATGTGTGTTTATGTATATATAAATACACACACATGCATGTATATATTTAAGAAAAATGTTATGTTTGTATATTAAATATATTTATATATATATAATATAAATTATATGAATATAAAATGTATACATATAAATGCATGTAAATATTTTCAAAATATACTGTATGTGTGTGTATTTATATAAACATAAATACACACACATATATTATGTAAACAAAAAACTTTTATTTTGGATGCGATAATCGCGATTAATCGTTTGACAGCACTAGTTTTATTTAAGCAATTCCATTTTTTTTTTTTTTTTTCATTTTTAATTTTATTCATGCATCAGTTATTTTAGTACACCAATTTAAACTAAAATTAGAAATGTTGCCTTGGCAAATAGCTGAAATAAAATATATATTTTTGTATATTAAAAATATTAAGCAGCACAACCGTTTTCAACCTTGTTAAAAACAAATGCTTCCCGAGCAGCAAATCAGCATATTATACTGATTTCTGAAGGATCATGAGACACTAGACTGGAGTAATGATGCTGAAAATTCAGCTGTGCATCATAGAAATGTTACATTTTATATTCTATTTAAATAGAAAACTTTTTACATTGTAATATTTCACAGTATTACAGTTTTACTGTATTTTTGATCAAATGCATGCAGCCTTGGTGAACATAAGAGACTTTGTGGACTCAAAGCATGTCTTCTAATCGCCTTCCCATCATTCTAGTTAAACTCCAGCGCTTTGAAATACCAGTTATGATCCATCTGAGTCCGGAGCCTTGGACCCCTGAAACGGGCCTGGTGACGGACGCATTCAAACTGAAGAGGAAGGAACTGAAGAACCACTATCTCAACGACATCGAAAGAATGTATGGCCACAAGTAGGACCTCTATCACAGCCAAAGACATCTTCATCAGCTCCTCACCGTGCAACATTACTGTTTATCAATAAATGTTCAATACGTTTTGCCACAAATACTTCACCACTGCCCATTGCTTAGTGATGTGCACAAATGTTCAAAGACGAACAATGTTGATAAGCCGTTGGTCTGTGTATTTTTATTCCTGAGCTTTGTGGGCTTTTCATTCAGAGCTCTGTAGTCTCTCTGCTGTGAAATAGTTTACAAGTCGTAGCTGATTAACTTGAGAACTGTTGGGTAAAGGACAATATGTATCTTATCCACCATTAAGTATCCACTAATTTCTAATGTTAGTATACAAAAGCGTTACACTGCCATCACATTGTGCTTTCATGTGTGAATGCTTCTTTGTAAAATTGTTCACTTGTTTGGTTTAATAGAATTTGAAAACACAAAAACCGCTAGCTGAGGCGAAGTCATTGCACCGCAGAACTCCGCCTCCTTGTAGAAATGAGTAATATACAGTGATGTTTCTGTGCCTTCTGATTGGTTACTATTTATACGTCGATTCCCTATTGGCTGAAAATTAGAATTCAATTCCCGTGCTTCATTCATGTTAGTGTCTTTATAACGGTTACAAACCATGTTCTTTAATTTACTTGAGATTTTTAATTTTTTTTGGTTGTGTAAATTTGTCACTGAATTACGATGTTTTGAGTACTAATTGACACGTATAGTAGTAAATACGTGTTCATGGATTGACTAGAGACAGGTTGAGATGACAAGCAAGTGGTTGATTGCTCATTTGTCCTGTTCGTTTGACTGAACTTAAATGAAGGGAACATTTTTAGGAAGTTTTTCCCTCTTAAGCAAGAGGTAAAGTTTATAGTTCATCTGTATCATCTTTTCATGTCTGATTTTTCTCAAACCACTCATTTTACTGTAGTGTCTGATGGTCACAAGCTCTCTTGTCTGTCACAAATTCCACTTCTGCAGGCTTTTAGTATATTTGGTAATATGTCAATGTCCTCAATATTTAATATATATAAAGCTGAAAAGTAAAAAAGACACTTTTTGGAAATTCAAACCCAGAATATTAAGGTTGAGAAACCCTTGTTCGTGTAGTATTCTGTATTTTAATTTATTTGGTCAAAACTGTACCTTTTTATTTTAACCCGTGTTTAATTGTTTTCGTTTTTAAAGTGTGATCTGTACAGGCACTGTAATTTGTTCGCTTTCGAGTTATTCTAGAAAGTGTATTTTATTTATAATTATTTAGTCATTTGCACTATGCGTTTTGTCAGGGATTTTTAGCCATTGTTAAACAAACCGCCATTAAGCCATCAAATTCAGCAGTTATTTCCCCCACAACCCTCAGGTTTCCACAAGCAAGACTATACAGCAGTCAAGTGTTTGCATTGAGAAATTGTGAATTTGCTTGTAGAATGTTCTATGATGCTTATTTATTTTTGTGGTTCACCGTATGTAATATTTGCTGAGAACAAGTAAAATCGTTTTCTACTCAAATTGTGTGGTAGTCCACATTAGAAACATTTCAATTGTGAATGTTTTTTTTTTTTTATTTACAGAACATACTTAAATTGCAATGAGTTTACAAAAAGAAAAACAAAATCTATACAAAAGGTTTGTAGCTACAATTCAATTAGCCCAGTCTTGAAAGCGAAAACAGTCGCTTGCAATCTTCCATACGGGCTGGTCGCTGTTGGGAGAGGCTTGGGCAGTTAATAAGAAATTCTGGTTGAAGTATCTCTGTTTGTTTCCGTCAAATTTCACTGAGCCAGCTGTGACCACCAACAAAGTCGTTTGGCCTTGAGTTGCTTGTTCTGTTAAAAAGATGCATTTGATTAAACAATAGGAAAATATATTATTATCAGTGTTGGGGAAAGTTACTTTTTAAAGTAATGCATTACAATATTGCGTTACTCCATAAAAAAAGTAACTAATTACGTTACCTTTTATGGAAAGTAATGTGTTACGTTATTTTTTAAATCTGGACAGGGCTTGTTTGTTTGTTTTTAAAATAAAAAATATATATTTTTGGCAAATATAAAAGCCTCTTCACACCAAAAGTGAAATGAATAAGCCTCAGGCTGAAGGGAAAGTACATTTACGTCCATACAGTAGAACGCAGAAGAAGAAATTCAACACACTTCAGCAATAAAAAAAGACACTCAAATGTTTGTCTAGAGTAATTTGTACTTATTAGTACAGTTGAACTGGATCATCGAAGGTCAGAAGCAAAGACATTGGTTAATAGAATGGGATTAAATACATAAAGCATATTTGTGTTGTTTAACATTTAATTATTGCAGGTTTGCGTCATTCTGAGTTGCATTATTTTTATTCATTTTGAGGAATACTGAATCGGTGTTTTGTGAGTGAGATGAATTAATGCATATTCATATTTATTTTAGAACTACAGTAACATCTTCTGATTTCTCTCAACATGGGGACAGCAGAGCTTGCGTTACTTATTTGAAAAAGTAACTCAGATATTCTTGCAAATTAAAAAGTAATGCGTTACTTTACTAGTTACTTGAAAAAAGTAATCTGATTACATAACTCACGTTACTTGTAATGCATTACCCCCAACACTGGTTATTATTATTATTATTATGAATTAAAACATGATGAGCATACCATGCACAGGCTGGCAGTCAAGAGTTTGCACTTGAAACTCACTGGAAGGAAGACTCTCAAAGAACTCGCCGAGAGCATCATGGCCTGTGAAAGCATTTCCATTCCACACTAGTGTTGCTTTGTCCAGATACAGCCTCGTCAAATTCTGAAAGCATTATTATTATTATGATGATGATGAAGTCTTTGAATGCACAGATCAGCAAACACTAGAAGTGCTATTAGAAGTGAAAACTCCAAACATGAGGAGCGTACCCTTCTTCTCTTATCCATGCAGTCATAATAGATATTGACGAATTCATCCGAGTATCTGCATGACTGATCAACTAGAGTCCTGAAGTCCTGATCACAATTGATGAGCACAGTTATGAAACATATCTGCATAAGCATTTAGATGAATGTTGACCTCAGTGAACACTCACCACCGTTGAAGCCATGCTACTGAACGTGCACTTCACCGATGTTCAGCCGTTTTGAGAAATTGATATCCAAACTACTAATAATAAAACATAAAAAAAGATCAGAGCGATTTAAAATGTAGGCACACGCCAGATGGGGGGAAAAAAAGCTGCGCAGCGTAGAATTATGTAAGAAAATCACCTGTAATTGTAGTTTATGCCCACTTGGAAAAGGATGGTATTCGTGCAAAAATATCAGAAGTATGATCGCTCACTCTTTAAAAAAAAAACAAATCCAACCTGGAGAAAAAATGTGCTCAAATGTGTGTGTCCACGGTTATTGTTCCGCCGGAAAACTACACCCTCATTCTAAGTTCCCAGCTGCAGGAGGAATAAAATACACAATATGACAAAAGGCAAAGTAACGTGCATAAATAAGTCAAATAAATACTTAAAGTGCACAAACAAAATGGCCAGTGTGCTTACTTTCGTTTTCTCCTTGTTGTTATTGGTTTGGATTTTCTAGTTTGCATTCATGCATATGTAAATTAGTAAAATCGTAACACGATTAATTAATACATTTAAAAAAAATGTATTTCGATCATTTTTGAAGCCAAAGTGCATTTTACCACAACAGTAAGGTGAAAACGTTTTACAATGTTTTCATAGCTTTCTCACAATCACTCTTTGTATTTGATACCAAAATGTAATACAAAGCCACAATAAATGTATTGTAGTTTCATAAAAAAAAACATATTCTTTTATATATAAATCTACATATAAAGAATTTATAGAATCTAAAGTTTCTAAATATAAAGAATGTGGTGCTACATTGGCTTTTCACTCTTTGTATTTGATACCAAAATGTAATACAAAGCCACAATAAATGTATTGTAGTTTCATAAAAAAAAAACATATTCTTTTATATATAAATCTACATATAAAGAATTTATAGAATCTAAAGTTTCTAAATATAAAGAATGTGGTGCTACATTGGCTTTATTATTATTATTATTATTATTATTTGTACGGCTATTATATAACTTACAAACTAGCCAAATGAATGACTCGATCAGCTTTATTACAACTTTAGGTACGTTTGTTAATTATTGTATATTTCGTTTAATCAGGCACCATTCTGCGGCACCTAAGTAAGTTGGTTTATCCAATGAAATTGCAGCTTATTTTTGGGAGAAAAAAGAAATATGATCATCAGCTCAGAGTGGTTTTAGGAAGAATTAAGAGATCTACAATGGACGCTCTGATATTATTTGAAAATGATGTTAAAAAAGCTCTAATAATGAAAGAATTTCTTGTTGCTGTTTTCTTTGACATTGAAAAGGCATATGACACTTTATGGAGGGACTGTTAATTAAGTTAAATCAAATCCGAATAGGGGGGAGAATGTATAATTGGATATTAGATTTTTTGTTTGAGCGTACATTACAGGTAAGAATAGGTGAAGAAATGTCAGCATCGTATGATATCCTGAATGGGATTCCACAAGGACATGTAATCGGTCCAATTTTATTTAATGTAATGATTAATGATATATTTGAAAGCGTTAAACCAAGCATTGGGAAGGCATTATATCCAGATGATGGTGCAGTATGGAAAAATGGTAGGAATTTAGGAAATGTAGTTAAAGGAATACAAGAATCAGTTAATGAAGTTGAAAGGTGGTCAGTAGATTGGGGATTGAAGTTTTCAGTAACAAAGACTCAATGGTTTTTACAAAGAAAAAGAAAATGGAACAAATGACTCTGAAATTATATGAACAATTGTTAGAAAGAGTGACAAGAGTTCAAATATCTTGGATTAATATTTGATGAAAATTTTACTTGGAAGAGACATATTAAGAAAATTGAAAACAAATTCAAAGGAGTAATAAATTGCATGGCTTCAATAGCAAAGTATGAATGGGGGAGCAAGGAAAAGTGCACTGTTACATGTATATCAAGCCTTAATACGGTCTAGTATAGACTATGGGTGTGCAGTGTATGGTGCTGCAGCAAAATCAGAATTAAAGGAACTGGACAACATACAGTCCAGAGCACTTAGAATCTGCTGTGGAGCAATAAGGTCAACCCCCCTAGATGCCATCAGGGTCGAAATGGGGGAGATGCCATTAGATTTGAGAAGAGAAAAGCTTGCGATGATGTATTGGGTTAATTTACAGGGTACACACTAAAAACTGCTGGGTTAAATACAACCCAGTGCTGGGTAAAATAGGGACAAACCCAGCAATTGGGTTGTTTTGACCCAGCGGTTGGGTTACTACCCAGAAGGTTGGGTTAAACATTTAACCCAACTGCTGGGTCAAAACAACCCAATTGCTGGGTTTGTCCCTATGTTACCCAGCACTGGGTTGTATTTAACCCAGCATTAGTAATAAGAATCATTGTACACACACAATTTTAAATGATTGTTGGCAATATAAAAAGAATGGAGGGAATAGTTTTGGTTGGAAGTATGAACAGTGGGTCAAGGATTGTGGTCTGGAGAATGAAGAAATCTGTCCCAACATGACATTAAATGGGGTATCGGTATGGAATATTCCTGAAACCATTGTTGAAATTAGATTGTTGGAGGCCCGGGAAAAAGCAGAAGAAAGATATACTAATAGTTATGAAATAATGTTTTTATGAGAGAACATTTTTATTATTTTATACAGATGGGTCTAAAGACCCAATCAAACAAAAAGTGGGCATAGGAGTGTACGTTCCAAGATTTAAGACAAAAAGAAGTTAAGGTTAAGTGACAAATTGTCTATATATTCTACAGAATTAACTGCTAAAATAGTTGGACTGCAGTGGGTAGAACAGATTAAGCCAAATAGGACTCCGACCGTAATTTGCTCAGATTCTCCATCAGCTCTTAAAAGAAAACTGACAGAGAAGACCTGCTAGTAGAAATGTATACATTACTGTACAGACTGAAAATAGAGGGTATAATCGTATACGTTTGTTGGGTACCGGCACATATCGGGAATAGAAGGAAATGAAACAGCGGATAAGTTAGCAAAAGAAGCTTTAAAGAAAAACTTGGTGGATGTTAAGGTACCTCTGGGAAGAAATGAGATAAAATCAGTGATTAATAGGGAAATAATAAGAATATAGCAACAAAGATGGGAAAATAGCAGCACAGGTAGGTGCATGGTATTATAATATTGTGAAATCAGTAGGGAAAAAAGAACAGTTTTACGGAAGACACAGAAAGGAAGAAGTAATGATTTCTAGATTAAGGATGGGTCACACAGGACTAAACTCAACACTTGCATTAACGGGGAAGCATGAAAATGGTATGTGTGATGAATGTGATGTTTTTGAAACAGTAGAGCATGTGCTCTTTAAATGGCGTAAATATGAAGATCAGCGTAACCTAGACCACCCTTACGAAAAAGAAGTTAATTCAAGTGTGCTATTAGTATACTTATTTTAAACTAAAAATAGGAAAGTATACTTTTAGTCTACTTTTTATGTACTTCTCAGAAATGGGCTTTATGTACGTCTCAGAAATACACTTAAAATAACATTTAAGTATACTTGACTTATACTTAGAAAAAGTCTAAATATATTTTAGCTATAATTGTGCTCCTAGAATCTGTGTTTTCATTGTTATACTGTAGAGGGTGCTAGTACACATCTTCTGTACAGAATTTCCAAAAAACACAAGTGAAGAAGAAACCGAAACAACAGATGCTTCCACATGTAATCTAACATGATCATCAGACATAAAACAGCATCAAAACTGTGTAACGTTATGGAATAAAATGTCGACCAATGAAGAGGAAATAATGACTGTCAAGCTTTGGGGTGTTGACTGACTTTATCTACATTTTGATTATCATTCTGAATCTAATTCATAAACCTTTTTCAGCTTTTTGTTCAAAAGGTTGTTTATTTCTTTATTTTTTATTTATGAAACTTATCCACATTTAAGTGTTTAAAAAAAGAATGCATGAAGCTAGAATAAAAAATGTTAGTTTACAAGCAGATACCCTGTACCCTTTTGATGTTTTGTATGTTCAGATAT